ATCCACAGCTTTGTGTGATATCTGTCTTGGATAAATTTCCATCTCTGGAACAGCCACACTTAGAGACTGAATCTTACCTATTTATTCAATGCTTGTGGAGAAAGGTCCTTTTATAAAAATTATTGTTCAATACAGTTTTGAGCTATAGGGACTGTTGGTTTGAGAACTTGCCAGAAAATCTGCTTAACCTGTGAGATAAATAATATTGAAACCTGCTTCTCCAGGAGATATATAACTTAGGAAAAAAAAAATGAAGCTGTAAATGCTTTTCTTGTCCAAGCTCTGAAGGGGTGTTTGAATGCTGGATTCAGATGTCTGTTAGGAAGTCAGATGTTTTCCTCCTTGTGGTGACCTTTTTACCTCACTGTGATTAAGAGGTTTTGCTTGCTGATGGGTGAGAATCAGCTGTCCTTACAAATGTGATGATGAAGTACTCTTCTGTCTGCCAATTAGAGATGGGGGAGAGAAGATGGTCTTCCTCATCTTTCTGCAATTTGGTTTGATTATTACTTGAGTAGTCCCATGATAAGGTATGCACTCATCCTTTCTCACTATTGTTTATGTGTGCTTATATTCTGTAGGACAGTTACTTATTGTAATTTTTATTTTATTTCAGATTTCTTTAGAAGTTCAGAAGCATAACTGTATGGAACACAGGTCTGACTGGCTTGGATAATTGGGATAAATTTGGGGCTAGGTGTATGGTAAAATGCTAAACTTCAGTTTTTCTTGGGGAAGTTTAGTATCTGGGTACTCTAAATGAGCTTCTCATGTCACCTGAGCACTCAACAGACAAGATATTAATATTTTGTCTTGGTTGCAATTCTGAAACTCTTTTGCTTAGCTATGAAGAAACCAAGTTTTAGGTTGAAGCTATGAGTGTACCCACAGTCTCTGTCTTATGAAGGTTTATGTGATGGAAATTATAATTTCATTGTGTGTACAACTTAATCAGAAAACTCTTGCAATGCAATTTATTCTTCCATTTACCACTTAGAAAAAACTAAAAACCTCTGGCTAGAGCCAGTGGCCTGAGGTAATTTCATTGATTTTTGAATGTCAAATGCAGAAAAAAAAATTCCATGGTACTTTTAAAGTTTCTTAAAATCCCAAATCAGATCATTCTCTGTCCTCTGATCTCAGTTGGTTGGTATTTATTGGCCTTGAATCAGCATCTTTGGTGATGTTATCAGGAAAGTTTCCATACTGATGAGCTGCCCTGGAATGCATTCTCCTATAATATGGTCATCACAGGGTTTTTGTTAATAGCAACCTTTCAGAGCTCTTGCATCCTGCTACTATTTTGTTAAGCTTTTAAACAGCATGTGGGGAGGTTCTTTTTTTTTTAATTTAGACTTGAATTATTCTAATGCTCATCTCAATTTGGAATTTTATACTTTGTAGTTAAAGAGTTTTATAGCAATGTGATGCTGACTGAAAAATGGGGGTTTTTTTTGCAATCACCCAGTTGCACATATGTTGTATTGTAAATCACAAAATATCCCTCTGTTTCTTATTGTAATTCAGATTTTTTTTAAAATTAGGATGAATAAAAAGACACAACAAGTGATGTCACAGGCAGGATGCAAGAATTGAAATCACTCATGTCCTAGATTCCCACATTGAGAGGGAGCTTTTCATTGAGGCTGCTTATGACATCCTAGAAACGTCCTACATTCATTTCTGTGCATTTCCCTTTGCAAAGACATTGCATTTCCTTTTGCAAAGAAATTGCAATAAATAAACCAAAGTCTTAAGTCCAGCACAGTGCCAGATCTTGGAGAAGAAAATTCTTTTTGGCTCAACTTTGTCACTCAGAGACATGAGTTAGACCCTCTCACTGGAGATCTGGAGGTTTCTCTCCACCACTGAAAGCAATCTCTTGTTTCCTGTCATTAACAGTATCCAAATAAGATTTCAAATAGTGAAAAGCAAACAAAAGAACATTTTCCAAAAGCCAGATTACATGCTGGGAAGGGAGTGGTGCTATGGCACTTCTGGAAATGCTTCAAAAGTATTGAAAGTGCCTGAAGGCATCAGGGGAATATGACATAAATACTGTGTAATAATATGAATTCAGAAATTGTGGCCCCGTCATTCTCTCAGAGTCACTGACACTCTTTTATAAACATCTTCCTAAAAACTTTTGAATTTATCATTCCTATTGGGCTTGGAGGAGGATAGTCCCGTCATTTCATCATTCCAGAATTTAGGACTTGCCTATTAATTTCCTCTCTAGCAATTTTGGTACTTGCAATTCATGTGTTCAACTTGCTCTGTAAAGTTATAATAGTTACAAAACTTCTTTTAAAAAAATTTAAAAAATAAATAGAGATAAATTCCTATTCCAGGGGTGAAATTAAGCAGGGAAAATAATAAAACAGACGGACATGGGAGGTACCAAAATAAAATTAAAATAAATGGGAATACAGGCATTTGAGAAACCTTACTTAGTAAAAAACCCTCAATGTCCTTGATTATCTGTTTACCATTAAGATCCCTTTAAATGGCAATACAGAGGTTTAATGGGAACAGTTGCAATGTATGAGCAATGCAAATGTACTCTTTGCTTTTTACTTAGATAATGATAATTATTGAATTCCCAAATGTACATGTTGGGATTTGAATGCTCTTCCTGTAGTTTTGGTGAGTTATTTAATCTTTTTCTAATGAAATAGCTGCAATCTCCACAATTTTATAACTGTTAAAGTATTTTAGTCAAATTAGCACTGAGAGAGTGACATTTCCCTTCAGCAATGCTTCAGCATTTAAGTGATCAATCTAAAATTTTGTTGTTAATGTAAGTGGACTAACACAGACTTCCAGGCAATTTGATCTTCATTGAAAATTACTGAAATTATAATTGCATTAAATTATTAATTGAAACTTCTGGATGAAGAACATAGTAGTGATACTACCTTTGTTATGCAAGTCCTGTATCTACATTCAAAAGTCTGTTGGATAAGAAGCTTCTGACAAAAAATTTATCATGAGTCTTGTTCAGAAAACTAACATCTTCCTGAGGAGATGTTTTAAACTGTGCCAGTTCCTGGTTTTGGCTCTATCTCTCTCTGGACATTTTAAATAGAACTGATTAGAAATTATATGGAAATGATAACCACTGAATGACTTCTGAATCAGTGCGAGCTTCTTAAAATGTCTCTAAAATTTGTTTTCATTATATAATCCTATCTAGTTTCATCCAGGTGTTGTTACTCAGTATCTATTTGTCCAGGTAAGAGCTGCAGATAAATCAGTGCATCCAGCTTCACTGGAGGCAATTATGGCTCTTTGAGGCAGGGTTGCATCGCTGGCTCAGGGCCTGTGCTTGTGCAAGGACATCTGTCAGAGGAGGGTCCTTCGCTCGCTTTTGGGAAGCTGGCAGAGGCTGGGAGCCAGGGTCCAGCTGCCTCTTCTACAGGCAGCAGCTCATCCTTGTGTGGCTGGTGCCAAGCTCTCAAGTGGCCATGGGCTCCAGTGTGGTAATTTTGATTTAAAAAGTCCCTGCGCTGCTGGCTCTTTTTGGAAATAGATTCTGCTGTGGCATGCTGCAGCATATCAGCTGCTGTAGACACATCCAAGATTGTGTTTTAAACTCTGTTGAACTAGTCAGGAAGAGATAAAACTTGTGTATAGTCAGGTCTGTAAAGTGAATTGCAGTAAACTTGGTTTCAATTAAAGGAAAGAGTATTTACACTGCTTTTATCTGCTGGTTTAATGACATGGTTTAAAATCACATCTTCAGTGCTGTGTGGACAATTTCATTGTGCAGACCAGCTCTTAGTCAGATCAAAACTTCCTTAAATTAGTGTGTTGAGACTGAGAACTCTCAGATGCTACTCTGATATGTCCATGTTTTTTTTCCCTTCCTTTGTATATGTGTGTGACATACATGCATTGTAAACACAAGAAACTGTAAGCACTTCTGCACCATGGTTTTTGTCTCTGTAGTGGGAATAGTTCTTTCCTCTCCTACTGTCTGCATTACAGTAAAGTCCTGTAACAAAAGGTGCTTATATAAAACAAGTAATTATCAGACTGAGATCTTAAATAGAAAGTTGAAATGACTTGATTTTTGAGGGAAGATGTTTTTCTGGTAGAAATTCTTCTTTGTCTCTGCTCCTCAAGAGTGGCAGTGACTTCTCACATTGATTCTCCAGTTTATGTTGTGAGGGGTTTTTTTTATTTTTTCTTGTGAGTGATAAATATTCCTCTTTCTTAAGTGTGACTTTGGAAACCAGGTAGGACTGGTATGTGAGTAATTCTCAAGTAGGAAACCCCTTCCGTCATGTTTTGGGTCAAGAGAGTTTGTCAGCTGAGGACTGCTGTAAAGACAAATCATGACCTTGTGTTCTTCCAAAATTGTTCCAATGTCACAGCCTATGTAGTCCACAGAAGAACCAACTAATCAAGATATGGCAAATGGGTTGTAATTCTTAGTCCAGCTCAACCCAGTTTCCAGAGTTATTGTTTGTCCAGAGTACATTTATCCCAAGGAAAATCAATTGTCATGCTTTGAATAGATGTAAAAATGTAACATTTTTTTGCGACTATATGGAATTTCAGTTGGAGCCTTTGGCTTTTGTTTAATCTTGGAAATAAAGCTGGTTCTAACAGTGCAAGTGTGTGTTGTCCTTGAGGATCTCCTCCATCTGAGGTGAGTGTAGTTGTTGTAAAGGCATGGAATTGTGGGTGAAAGGACAGCACTGCTTATTGTTAAGGAAATCACAGGTTTTTAGTAATGCAAAACAGCTCATCCACCTTGAAGTAACTAGGTAAAAACTGACTTATTAATGGGGAATTCTGTGATCATTTAAGATGTTTTTAGTTTTTATTTAGAAAAATGTAAGAGAAGGTTGAACCAGACCTTACTGTTTATTTTATAGATATGCCCAAGCAAAGTTATTTTTGCTTTTTCACAGCTTTTGGTCTAAACATTATTTTTGTTGGTATAATAATTGATCTTAAAACATTATTTTCTTTTTATTTTGTTAATCCAGTGGGAAGAGATCAGCGGTGTTGACGAGCATTACACTCCGATCAGGACTTACCAAGTGTGCAATGTCATGGATCACAGCCAGAACAACTGGCTGCGGACGAACTGGATCCCGCGCAACTCGGCTCAGAAGATCTACGTGGAGCTCAAGTTCACCCTGAGGGACTGCAACAGCATCCCCCTGGTGCTGGGCACCTGCAAAGAGACCTTCAACCTTTATTACATGGAGTCTGACGACGACCACTCGGTCAAGTTCAAGGAGCACCAGTTTACAAAGATCGACACCATCGCGGCCGACGAGAGCTTCACCCAGATGGACCTGGGCGACCGAATCCTCAAGCTGAACACGGAGATCCGTGAGGTGGGGCCCATCAGCAGGAAGGGCTTCTACCTGGCTTTCCAGGACGTGGGCGCCTGCGTTGCCTTAGTGTCGGTGCGGGTCTACTTCAAGAAGTGCCCTTTCACCGTCAAGAACCTGGCCATGTTCCCAGACACGGTGCCCATGGACTCCCAGTCGCTGGTGGAGGTGAGGGGCTCCTGTGTCAACCACTCCAAGGAGGAGGAGCCCCCCAAGATGTACTGCAGCACGGAGGGAGAGTGGCTGGTGCCCATCGGGAAGTGCTTGTGCAACGCTGGCTACGAGGAGAGAGGCTTTGCCTGCCAAGGTAACCGTGCCCTGCGTGCCCGTAGCTCTGCTCTGAGCTGGGGCTCCCCCTGCTCCCTGTGCTGTGCTCCTTTTCTCCAGGTTCTGAATCCCTGCAGAAATATCAGTCAGTTAGGTGGGAAAATTGCTGTGCAAATGGGGTTTGGTCAAGCTGTGTTAATAACGTAATCTGCTAAAAGTATTTGGTAAGAGTCAACAGCTGATTTTTAGTAGCACATTGTGCAGCAAATCTAGCCTCTCTTACCACTTTTGGACCTTCTTCCATTTTCTTAAATGTTTGTGTCAAAAAAGTGATTTTTTTTCAGTGTCTTCTTGTCTTTATACTTTGTGTCTTGACATATGATTTCTGCCAATGAGCTGTGTTGATTAATTGGAATTGGTTGGTAAAAAAGATATGGTATTGCTCCTGTAGCATAAATATTAAATGCAGATACATTTGGAAGATTAATAGTTCAAGTTTATTCATAAATACTCACGTATTTTAACTCTATCTTCTCCAAACTTTTGGTTTCTGCTAACTGTGGTTATGTGAATGCTCCCAAGAACAAGAGTACACTGGGGATTTGGATTTTTTACAGAAATGATCCTTCTTAGAAATCTTAGAGAAATGCATGTTGTATTTACTAATTTTAGTATCAAGCAAGATGATAGTAGCTAATATTTTTATTCTTTTTATAAAATTACATTTTGAAGCTTTGTGCTGATTCAGTCTTTTCACAGTGTGCCTCGAAGGGTGCTGGCTGTGGCAAAGGGTTTTCTGTTAAATATACAAGTAAAAATTAAACATTAATGTCTGGAAATCACATGGTTGGAAGCAGAATAGCTGAAATGTTTACTGTGGGGTGTGTGTATGTGTAGAACAGAAAATTTAAAGTATTCTGAGCCTGGCTGGGACAGTGCCTACTCCTTTTTAATTAGTCCTACAGCAATGCATATATCAATCAAGTCCTGGGGAGTTACTGAGAACCCAACAAACCAAAGCCATCACTTTTTCTCAGAAAATGACAGGTGGACATCTGGGGGAAGGGGTAAGAGTATTCTTCCTTTGATTTTTCTTTAAGGTAGATTTTAAATAATCTTTTGGTCTTGAATAAATTGAGTAGCCAGGTCCAAGGATGCTTTTCTGGGGTTAGATACTGTTATTTATAAAAAACAAAGTAAGCTCTTCTGTTAAGAGCTGAATTCAGGGGAGGATATTTTATTGTTCAGAATCCTTTCTCCAGGGCCTCCTACAGCTGCACTTACAAATGCTAAAACATGAGTGAATCTTTTATCCACTGTGTATATTCTTGCTTGCTGCAGAGCCTGTGTTCTGTAAATGGTTGGAAGCTGTTGGTTTAGAGTTTCAGTCACACGTGAGCACAGAGACACTACAACTGAGCAAAAGTAAAGCTAAATAAATGAAACTAAACTTTTATTAAAAACAAGTTCTCAAATGCTTGAGACAGGCAAAGCAGCTCCTACTAAGTTCTGCAGAGAAAATCAGACCATAGAATGAATATATTTTTCTGGTTTGTTTTTTTTCTTTCTCACTCACTGTTGATCAAGGGTGTTTTATATGATGAAACCATTAACAATAGCAACAGGTCCTTCTGGTTTATTCTGTTTTAACATAGAATGTTCTACTAACCTTTATTGGAAGTAATATTGATCAGACCCTTTCAGTGTGCTGTGATTGAAGTGGCTCTTTAAAAGCAGGAACTCAAAACCTCACATTTGTTGACATTGGTGGCGCAGCAGGAGTTGGAAAACTCAAAAAAACTGTTCAGCTTTGACATCAGGATCAAGGCTGCTCCTGCATTTTTCCTTTTCTTTTTCTTCTCTTTTTCTCTTGCTCCATCTTTTAGGGTGTTTAAAGATTTTTGTGTTTGTTTAAGGATTTTTGTGTTTGTTTGGGATTTTTTGTTTTGGTTTTTTTGTCATTGAAAGGGCAGTAGAATCAGGATTGTGGTAATGTAACCCCAGAATGTTGTTACAGGCATGGGCTGGAATGAAGACATAACTTAGGAAAAATAAGTTTTAGTTGAAATTTGAAGCAATAATTAGTAGTAGAAGTTATTGTCTTCCCCGTGGCTGAAAACATTTAAGAGCTTGTCAAGCTCAAGATCTTAAGAAATCGCTTCTTGATCCTGTGTTCAGACTGTTTCTGATTTTGTTTGTTTCCATAATGCAGGTTTCATAAACAATGTCATTTTGCATTAGCAGGAGATTATCACTGAGAACTAAAATGAAGGACCTTAATGGTGTAAGATGAGCCTATTTAAATTCCATTCAGAACAGCTTTTCTTTGTACTTGGAAAATTAGACACAGTCATGGCCTCCCAAATAACAAAAATGTCACCAATTTCCTTAACTGCTTTCTTTTCTCTGCATAACCAGGAAAAGTCAACATAAACTCAGACCAGTTTTTCTTATTAGTGCACATTTTTATAACACATTTATGGGTAAGCTATGAAAAGCCAGCTCAGCTGATGGGTTCTTTCTGGGTGGAATATTGTTCTGCTCTGGATCCTGTTGAGTGATTTTTCCTGTACAGCAGCAACATCCCTACCTGTCAGTCAGCAAAAGAATTTCACTGTGACCATCCTTGTCCTCCTTATTGTGTGTTTGTAGAGCAAAGATTTCCCAAAAATGATACACTTGAGGTTAACAGCTTAATATTTAATTCCTCCTCTAGCAAAGGCTTGTGCACCTGTTCGGTGTTTTGGAAGAATTAGAGTTTGTCTGGTGTAAAGTAAGATGTGTTGGGGAGCAAGTTGGAAAAAGCACCCTTTCATACCCATTTTTCACCTTAATTAATACATTTATTAGTTAATTAAAATGGTATATATCATACACTGTAGGCTGTTTGTTATTACAGGTTTTTAGCATCACAAGGATCCTCTCTAGTTAATCTTATTTAAATATTACACGGTTGAACGGACTTTCTTCCTCACAATATATTTTATAAATTGTATTTTCCTGTCACTTTGACCAAACTACATTTTCCTGGCATCTTCTCTTTTAGAATTAGTGTGTTTTAATTAGGGGGGAAAAAACCCCAATTGGAGGGAACTAGACACTTAACTTAATGCTTTCTAATAATCTCCATCCTGATCCTCAGTCAACAAGGAAAAATCATCTTTTCAATTTGTTCCCCATCAAAGAGGCAGAGTAGATCAGATTAGATCTGTCTTACTATTCTTGCTCTGACAGTGACTAGTGGCATCCTCCTAAGGAAACTAAGGGAAAGTGTAAGAAATTATATAATTTCTTACATGTGCTACTTTCCTGGGCAAAGCTTCTGCCAATCTACTGCTGACCTTTGAAGATTTAAGACACATTTTGTAAGAAAGACGATGTACAATAAGAGTCAGTGACCAGTCTCTTGGTAATTTGTCTATATTTTGACTCATATTTTTAATCTCTTAATTTTTGTGGCAATGAATGCCATATCTTGCCTTGTGTGGAGACCATAACTTCTTGCTGTGTTTAACCCTTCTCTTTTAGAGTCACTGGGATAAGGTTTCCCATGTCCCTGTGTAGTGAAGAAATAACTGCTCCCTTTCAGCTTCCATATGAACAAATTTCAAGATCTCTTTCATGTCTAATGTCTCTAATACCTCTTGTCTGAGCTTTTCCCCTCTACTGGTGCCTTCTTTTTTAAAGGACAGACTGGTTGCTCTGTACCTCATATTTTTTGACTGCCTCTGTACATATTCAAAGTAAACAATGTGGTTTTTATGAAAAAGGCAACGAGTCTTGTGTGCACTACTGAAGTTTCAAGTGCAGCAGCAGATTAGACAGTGGCTTAGAGTTTGGAACAGCCCAGAGATTTGAGTTAAAAAAAGGGGCATTCACATCACCTGCCCAGTGAGGGATCTGTACGTGGAAAACTTGACTCAGTTTTATTTTGAACACTATAGAAGAAATAGATCTCACACTCTGCATGTTGGTTAGTTGGGGTATTGATACCAAAATAAATGGGAAAATGTAAGATAAATGGCAGAAAAACTATCTGTAGTTCTGTAATGATCTGGAAGGCTCCTCAGGGAAATAATGGAAGCCTCATTTCAGGAGTTGTTTTTTAAAAAATTGCAGGAACCAGATGATAAAGGAAATCCTGCACTGGCAGGTTTGGACTACTAAATCTTTTCCATCCTGAATGTGTCTATTCTGTTGGTTTCATGCACTTCAGGAAGACCAGTTGGACATGAAAAATGTTATTTTTCATTGCAGTATATTTAATTAGCAAGCCTGCAGTGGGCAATTGTTTATCCATATGGGACTATGAGCTTGAATCCTCTTTTGAAGGCTTCCAACAGGTGACCCTCTATACCAAAACCAAATTTTCTGGCTCTGTTTAATTAATGAGAAATTTAAATTGGCAGGCCTGAACAGAATGACCCAAAAAGCAGAGAATAACATTTTCTGCATGGTGTTGTTTCAAGGTATAGTTCTAAATTTTAGTTGCTGGAATTGAGTAAATCTGAACTGTAAATTTCCTATGTAATGCTATGTAATGTAGTTGTAAGTTTTAATCATGAGTGACTGATACATTTTCTATAACAAAGCCAGAAGGAAAAAGAATGTAACCCAACAGGTCCTCCTTATGTGTTTAACTTTTAGCTATTAATCAGGTGGATTGAATGGGAGAAAAGGGAGTGAGGGGTAAAGGAGGGAGAGGATAAGTTCACCCACTGCGCCTGGTTATTGCAAAAATGACTTCAGAAAATTTCCCTTAACACTAAATTTTTCAGTGTTTCAAGTTGTGCAGTGAGCGTCTCCTAAATCATATTTCTCTCTCTGAGTTTCTGGAGATATGAAAGGAATGCCATCTGTGGCTGCTAAATCTGAACCATCACATCCATTGCCTAATTCTTTGAGTGAAATGACTGCTGCACTTGTGGTAAAAATATGTGCAACATCATTAATATCAAGGAAGCAAATTTCTCCAGACTCCTTTTTTTCCTCTATGCTTTAAATAACCATTTTGTCTCTGCATAAGTAAATCTAATTTTT